TAAAATATATCATTGTGCAAGGATATAGTCTTAGGCCCAGATGGATCGCTTTAGGTATATTCACCTTCACTCATAATGTGACTAGACGGGTATCTTAAAAGGCATGGTGAGGTATTTTATTTGCTTTTTTTATTTAGCAGAGTTTCATCGAATTTGGTTTTCTCCTATTGTAACATGATCATGTACTGATGTACTTCTTGACATGGGTGACCTGTGGCAAATCTTGGATCTGGTTTAGCTGGTCCTTGATTTTAAAAAGCACGATGTGATCCGAGGCGGTAAGGGTCCCGGAAGCCGATGCGTGATGCGGATGCGCTCGCATCACACACGTGATGCGCCCGATATCCAAAAAATACTTATAAATTAATTCTACATATCAATTTCTACCTTAAAAATACTTACCTATCAAAATACTTCATTTATAACATAAAGTAGTTCAAAAAGTGGCATTAGAATCTTAAAAAGTTCGTGAATCGGAATAACATAACACACAAACTACTACCATRAAGAACACAAGTAAATGTCTAATAGTCCCCAATCCCTAAACTAAATGACCAAGTGACCAACTAATACTCCCCAAGATCAACATCATCAAACCCCAACACGGGTTCATCTCCCTCATCATTATCAAACCCTCCAATATCTGCTTCCACCTCAACTTCATCATCTTCACGACTCATGTATATGTTCTTAATTTGATATGCGACTTGAGACTTGAGAGGGGCTTCTATTTTATTAGGTCATTATTACGTTCTATTTTAATCTACAAAAAGCCCAACTAAAAACCTCTAAAGAATGAAAAAGGAGTCCAAACATGAAACATACAGGATGCGCTGATGCACGCATCGTGTGATGCATAGGTGATGCGACCACGTTAGAGAGCATCATGGAATCGCTTCGCATCAGCCCCTCTGATGCATTACCTCCCGCGCATCTCAGCGCATCATGCATCGGAGGGCATTATGCGCGCATTTTTAAACCAAGAGCTGGTCATTACAATTTCTATCCCATATCTAATGCTAACTTGGGTTCCTGACTCAGTTGGCTTATTATGATACTTGCATACTGCTTGCATGTGTTGGCACAGAAATGGCCTTGGCATGAGATTCCTTCTGCGATATTATATATTCTGTTGTGATAAGTTCCTTAGGTGTAAATTGCAGAGTAACTGAGCTACTCTTTAGAGTTTTCTGTTTTTTCTGGAGCTTCAGCTGGGTGTAACAGCCTCCACCATATGCTATCTTCTTACTAAATGGTTGTTGGCCATAGTTCGTCTAAATATATTTCAACCAGGGGAGGATCATCTGCTTTCAGCACTCTAAACCTCAAGGTTTTGTATGAACATTTTTTTGAATATGAATATATAAGAAACCATTGCTTGCTGGAATACTAGACCTACTAAAGGAACCAAAATAGAAGGAAAGCTGAGAGTTGTCATAGAATGGGTGACTCGATTTACTATTTGTACATGCTATTAGCCTATTATTGTTTAGGTATTTTTTTAATTATTTATAAGTTATAATATAAAGATATCTTATTATAATTTGGTTATTCTGAATTGGAATTATTATTACTTAATATTTATTAAGTATAGATCTAATTATTTAAGTGAGTATATAATATTAATATAGTTTTTAATGAAAGATTTGAAAGGATATGGATGGGATATTATTGTATTATTGTTATTCTTTTCTTCATTTTTACTTATGGAGAGGAAAAAAGGGAGGGCCCTGATATTATGTACTTCATGTTCTATTAGTAAGATTTTTTTGTGGTGTCATTGTGTATTTTACCCATATTTAATCTTAAAAGGATTAAAATTCATATAGGAATACTTCTAGTAGGGATTTATTTTATTGGTTCATCAATAGTGTTCGGCTGTAATCCCTTTTTGACTCTGGACCATAGATTCTACTATTGTTAGTGAGAAATAATGGAATAACTCATGTCTTTTACAATAAAATGATAGATAGAACTGTCATGAAACGACTTATTAGTCGATTTATTGATCAGTATAGAATAGGATATCTATCACATATATTTCTGTACTAAAGGCACCAAAATAGAGGGAAAGTTAAAAGTTGTCATAGAATGGGTTAATGAAATTCTGATCTTCTACATCCTAGGTCTTCGCTTTCCATCATCGGGATTATGTTCTTCATGAAACCTTTAGACCGATTGACACAGTGATCGTGAAACTATGTTGACACTCTTAGACATCTTAGAAGATAAATATGGAAGCCTGGTCTATCTCATCTTGATTAGAATAGGGACGACCACTTGTGGAATTTTTACTAACAAATTACCTGGCCAATTTTTCTAGTAAAATCCATTTCGATAATTCTAGTATTTTAGGATCTCTTTATTTGTCGTACAAAAGACTTTCTGAATTCCTGGATTTTTTATTCATAAATCTCGATCCAATATAAAAAATTTGTTTCAAAATTTCATAATTTAAAGTCATGAGTTTTTATTGACCTTAGGATAAAAATCGCAACTTTTTCCTTTTTTCCTTGAATGTGTTATTAAAAGGTAAAGGATTTAATTCTTTTAATAAATAAAGTTCTTAATCAGATATGAATCAAGTTGACAGACCCCTTAACTATTATGGGGGTTAATAGAACGAACCACAATTTTACCACTAAACTATGCCTGCTACAATGCAATTATTTTATATATAGATGGATCCTCTGTCGAGGTGCTTCTATATATGTGTATATCAACTTATATATATATTGCCTGTATAGTACACCCATCCAAGTGTTCAATCCACCAAGCCCTTTTAACTCAGCAGTAGAGTAATGCCATTGTAAGGTGTAAGCCCTTCTTTCGCAATCCGAGACGGGGCTTCATACCTTCTTTCTAGTCGTCGTAATTGAATGAAGAATAGCTATATTATTAATAGTAACAAAAAAGTAACCGGATAGATTTTTTTATTTATCTTGTCACAAAAATGTATTTTTTGAATTATCACAAACCCAAGTTATTAATTACAATAAGTTCATATATATGCATATATATATGTATGTATGTATTCTTCAATATAATCGACCATCTTTTTTCTTAAAGATTGAAATAATGGAATTCTTTTTGGAAGACAAGGAATATTTCATCCCGAATCAAGACACTAAAAACTTAAAATTATGGAATGAATCCATGGAAAGGCTGGTTAAGAGATCATTATCAGTACGATTTATTTCAACTCATATCCTTGCTTTTCAATCTGACTTTAATTTTTCTCCCCAATTTGATATTATGGTGACGTTAGAGACCAAAATTTAGTTATTTTTTAATCAAAGAATTCGAAGAACTGGACAAAGAAAATGGAAAAACTAAAGTTGCATTGATTCACAAAGACTTTCTCGGGAGAAGCTAGAAAAGAGATATCGAAGTAATTTTGACGATTCAATTCAATTGCCAAAATCGTGAAAAGTAGATAATCTCTTGAAGGACGTTATAATTGCAACAAGAAGAAAGTATGCTACATAGATTAGTTTCTAAAGTGCATAACTGCATATTCTATTTGATTGTATGCATTATCGTGTGGTCATGTGCATGCATAGTGCAAATAGGGGGAGTTAATTACATGAACATAAGAAGCTTTGAACTTTTTACCTATGTAGCGGTGTGAGTTGTCAAAACATGCAGGCAAGGGTAAGAGTAAAAAATTCATATGAATGATGAAGGAGCACTATCACCTCTGGATGTATTTACTTAAATCTACTTTTGATCACTTAGCTGAAACACGGAAAAAACGTTAAAAGAGAACGCTGAAGTTCATATGAATATGAATACCATTGCAACCTTAGCAAGTCCTAGATCTCATTAATATAGTGATATGTGTTGTATCTCACTTGAGTACTGTGTTTGGCTAAAACATTATACTGAGATGTTGCAAAGCTGTGGTAGCAAGTGCACAAACCCTTATGGCATGGTCCTCTAGTCATTTGTAGTCTAATGCTATTTCGTCTACGTGATTTACAAATCTGAACCAGAATTGCAAGTACTATCAGTTCCCTTTGTTGAGAGTTATCTCAACAAAGAAGCAAATTGATTCAGAATTGAAGAAAGTTGTATGATTTTTAATGGCTGAATTCCAACTAGCAGATATATATGCAATAAGTATAAAATATAACTCTTTTGGTGGATCTTTTATATGTATCGAAATAAGCCAGAGATGATAGAGATCTAGGAGGAATTTTTGGGGGAGTAAAAAGACGCTTCGTTTCTTTTTGTCCAAGGAACTCCCAATTCTCTGGCCAATATAGCCCTCCTAGAGGTTGGGCTCTCCTGGTAAGTGTTTTACAAGTTTCAAGATCCTACCACTACTCCCTGAACACCCTATTTATATCTGAGCTATTCTCCCGACTAACTCCTCTTGACCGACTAACTAATCACCCACCTTCTGTTAGTTAGTTATACATCAGTGATATCACCTCTTTGCCCCTGATTCTTGTTTCTTCTAACATATGTTTTGTCTCCTTCGTAGCATGGACAAGTGATTATGCTAACTTCACATGTCTGATTTCATTTCAAGGTAAGAAGTATACTGAATCAGTGATTTTCTTCATGAAGGGGAAAACACTACTGTAGGTGGATATGTACATCAAACGAAGAAAAAAATATTCATTTCCAGATCTACATGGACAAACCTCATACTGGTAACGTGTTAGTCATATGATGATGTTTAACGGGGGTTGTCTGACGTTTCAAATTAGTCATAAAATTAATATTTCATTGTACGTGTCTTCAGTATATTGTTTATAGGGAGGACGTTTTTTTTGTCATGATTTTCATGAAGGCAAATTGCTCGAGTGGTAATTATGTACTTAATATGAGCTTTAACTCCTTGTGCATATTACTTTTGGCTTCTGCTTGTATGGAAATGATTAAACAGACTTTGAAATCGTATTAATTATGTATGATATGAAATATTAGTTGAATGTGGTTGGTATTATCTGTAGCTCTTATACATAGCCTTTTTTTGCACTTCTTTTCAGGAACTGATATGAATAGGCAAGATCTAGGGAACACCATGACTGTAAGAGCAAAACCTGGTCTAGCGGCTTTCAAAACTAATGGCCAGAGGGAGGATGAAGGAGAGTCTAGAATGGATCCATATGTAGGGTTAGAATTTGATTCTGCAGAAGCGGCACAGGAGTTCTATAATTCTTATGCAACTCAAATCGGATTCAAAATTAGGATTGGTCAGTTATATAGATCCAGAGTTGATGGGTCAGTTGTTTCAAGAAGATATGTTTGTTCAAAGGAGGGTTTTCAAACCAACTCAAGAACTGGTTGTCCAGCTTTCATAAGAGTACAGAAGGGAGATTCTGGGAAATGGGTTCTAGCAAACATAAAGAAGGAGCATAATCATGATCTTGACATCTCAGGTGAAGTCCGTACTCCCACTATACAAAGAAAAGTTATTCCAGCTCCAAAAACAACATCAGTTGTGTCATCAAGGACAGGAATCAGATCACTTGAGGATGATGGCCCATCGGGTGTTATTGATCTTAAACGTCTTAAAAGGGAAGAGTTAGAAGCAGAACCCAGAGGTGAGCCTTGCAAAGGTCTTGATTTCATATCTGCTAATGAAGCATACAAATTTTACTACACATATGCAGCTAACATGGGTTTCAAAGTGCGGATTGGTCAATTGTTTCGTTCAAAAAATGATGGATCAATTACGTCTAGAAGATTTGTGTGCTCCAAGGAAGGGCATCAGCACCCTTCAAGAGTAGGTTGTGGAGCGTTCATGAGGATACAAAGGCAAGATTCTGGTAGATGGGTGGTTGATCGTCTATCAAAGGAACACAATCATGAACTTGACTCTCCGGAAGACGCCGGTCGGAAAATCGCTGCTGCTGCGAAAGGTTTTAAGGAAGAACTGAGTAGTGGATTGGAAAATTTGGATTTACTTGAAACAAACGGTGGTTTGAGCCTTGTCAAAAGAGACAGAGGAAGTGGCATTGGAAGTAGGTGGTATAGTGTGCTCCTTGAGTACTTCCAGTCTCGTCAAGCTGAAGATACAGGCTTCTTTTATGCCTTGGAAGTTGACAATGGCAGATGTATGAGTCTATTCTGGGTCGATGGCAGGTCGAGATTCTCCTGCACTCAGTTTGGTGATGCTATTGTTTTTGATACATCGTACAGGAGAGGGAGTTTTACAGTTCCGTTTGCTTCTTTTGTTGGTGTGAATCATCATCGGCAACCAGTGCTTTTAGGATGTGCGTTAATCGCAGATGAGTCAGAAGAGTCCTTTACATGGGTTTTCCAAGCATGGGTTAGAGCAATGTCTGGAAAGCGTCCCGTATCTATAATTGCCGATCAAGACAAATGCATTCAAAATTCAATTGCACAAGTTTTCCCGGGAACCCATCATCGGTTTTCCGCGTGGCAGATTGTTTCTATGGAGCATGAAAATTTGGGGGCACTACGGTCCATGGATGAGTTCAAATTTGAATATGAAACTTGCATTTCACAGAGCCAAACAGCTAGTGAATTTGATTCTGCATGGAGTGTCCTGGTTACTAAATATAATATAAAGGAGAATGCTTGGTTAAAGGAGATGTATAAAATGCGAAAAAGTTGGGTCCCGTTGTATTTAAGGGGGATCTTTTTTGCTGGTATCCCTGTTGATGGAAGTATGAAATCCTATTTTGGAACGTTTTTGACGTCACAAGTACCGCTTAATGAATTTCTAATGCGTTATGAGAAAGCTACCGAGCATCACCGCGAGGAGGAGAGGAAGGAGGATTTCAATTCATTCAACTTGCAAACTGTTCTTCATACAAAAGACCCCCTAGAGGAGCAATGTAGAAGGCTTTACACAATAACAGTATTCAAGGTGTTCCAAAAAGAGCTCTTGGAAAGCTATAGCTACGTTGGAATAAAGATAAATATCGAGGGCGCAATCAGCCGATATTTGGTGCAGAGATGCGGCAATGGAGATGAGAGGAATACTGTTGCTTTTAATGCTTCAAATCTTAACATCAGCTGCAGTTGCAAGATGTTTGAGTTCGAGGGTATTCTGTGTAGGCACGCATTAAAGGTGTTCCAGATAATGAACATAAGAGAAATCCCGTCTCGCTACATCTTGCATCGGTGGACAAAAAGTGCCAAGTACGGAATTCTGCGGGATGTCGATTCTATTGGTGGATCTCAAGATTTTAAAGCATTGATGGTATGGAGTTTAAGAGAAGAAGCCCATAGCTATATCGACGCAGGGGCAGCATCTATAGAAAGATACAAACTGGCGTTTGAGATACTGCAAGAGGGTAGGCGTAATCTCTGTTGGCAAAATTGAAGAGCATACTGAACAAAGGTCCGTAACATCTCATCGACTTTACGCTTCTATTACTTTAAATTCTCAAACCAGTGTAGGGTTCAAGATTCTAATATTATGAAACTTGCATGCATGGATGACCATATCTCTGGTGGTTGTTTTCAGCAGTGTATTTCAGTGGGAATTTTATTTCCCTAATAGAACAGAAACCATGTCATCCATTTGTAATTTGCATTTTAGCTTTTAATATCTCAAGTAGCACCTGTTTGTGGTAAGCGGATGTTTCCTTGAAATTTGTCGGTTTTGGGCATAACTTCGTTTCCTAGTCTAAGATAAACACAGGAGGTGGTGCTTTCCATTTCATAGGGGAAAAATCAAATAAGGACCACAAAGATGTTGAGAACCATGAGAACCAATTGTAACCACCATTCAGTGAGTTTCATTTTAGGTTAGGCTTAAAGGTGGTATAATTGTTCATGTGTGTGGTTTCATATATGAAACATATGGACATGTTTGTTTCACATATGGAACAATTATATCTGTTCCTTGTATGAAACAACAATGTACTTTCACATGTGAAACTAGTTATCATGGTTTTCAACATTTTTCTTGTTCTCTTTTGATTTTCTCCCTCATACCATCTGCCTACTTTCATGGAGATATTGATGTTTTACATTCTTTAAGTTTTTATCGGGAACTAGATTTTTTATCACTCCATCGCAAAACAAAAACCATTGTACTTGTGACTGCAGGAAAAAAACACCGAAGTCTGCAATTTCTTGCATTTTTTTCATCGAACTTCCCACAACTTTTGGTCAAAAAGGCAAGACATTGCAAACTTGAATTTTTTATTGCATTTCAGAAGTAGAACGATTAATTTTGCAACGAAGTCATGAGTATAATGAATTCGCTTCTTTTCATTTTGTTGCTTCTCCAGAAGCTATTTTAAATAGCAGGCAGATAGTTGGTTTCCATATTGTTCATGTTCCAGTGCAGGTAGCTCTCATCACTTGGTTTAGAGTGGATAAAAAGAGTAATATGCGTTTCCTTCAGCTTGTTTATGGGATTGAAGTTGCTTGATCAAATTCAAGTTTAGTTGTTCAAATTTTTGTTGCGTTTGCTGCACCTGACACACCATATGTAGGAATCGATTCTGGCTACGTGCCACTGTGTCACGTGAAGTAGTTGCTTTTAAACAAAGGTTTACCCTAACCTGTAGGCATTCATTTTGATCTATACTTTGTGGTAGAGATCAGGTCTGCCTACATCTTACCCTTCCAAGTAGAGGTGGCCAAAAATCAGTCCCGAGCCGAGCCTTAACCGGTTACGGCCGGTCCCGATCAAGACAAAAACCGGTGATAACCGGTCCTGGTTCCGGTGAAATCTCCCATAACCGCTCAAGCTTACCGGTAACCGGTTAAGTCGTCCGGTCCCGGTTCCGGTCCCATAACCGGTTACGGCCGGTCCTTTACAAAAAAAATATTTTTTTTTTCAAATTTTTGTTAATTTATAATATGCTATTAATAAATTTGAAATATGTTATTTTTAATATGTTTTATTATAAATACGTTTTATTATAAATATGTTTTAAAATACGTTTTGTTATATATATATATATATATATATATATACAC